AATGAATATTTCGACAACGTGTAAAGGAAAATAATCAGACAAACAATTATGATATATCAGAAGTAGGCATGTTTGTATTTTGATTTTGGTTGATTATTGATTGAATAAGATTTCACCTAAAGGTGTTCGGTGCCACAGCCATTGGCGCTGATACTAGAGATGAGCGATATTGCGATTTTTCGATATCTGTGATTTCAGTAATTGCTATTTTTAAATCACTGTGATTTTATATTGCTATTGCGATCGCAACGAAGTCGACGTTCAAATGGATATCTTTTGCTGTTGTTGTTTTTGTAGCGGCAGATTCTGCCGATTTGACAGTGATAAAAGTCCGGGTTCGTTCCAGTTACGTAGACCCGACTGTCGTGGGAACGACGGCAATCTTCTGTCGTTATTGGCGGCAAATTCTCTTTTGGGTCCTGTAAATCCAGTTAAGTTTTTCCGCATTTACTTTCACTACATTTTCGCAAATGTTGGATCGGTTCGGCTGTCTCGAAGTTCCTGGCTCATTATCAACATCTATTGAGTTAGAGAGGGTTTAAATTACAGTAGTTGTAGTATGATTTGCTTGTTTCTATTAGTAAAGCAAAAGTTAATATCTTTATATTAAAAAATTTTAAATTATTACATATACTTTATACCTTTCGAGCTGGTTGTTCCACTGTAGGATGTCTATTCTGTTTTCATGTTTTTTTAAATTTGTTAAAGATGTTTACTTGAAATTTTTGACTTGCAAATATTGCAATTTTGCATATATTTCATCTACCACTTCAAACATCTGCCATGATTCACTTCTTGTCCTTTAAACATTTTCTGCCATTATTAAAAATTATAAGGATGTTAAACTCAAAACTTCAAACCGCTTTTACAAAAAATGGCATATACGCATATACATATATTTACAATATCCTGAAAAAAGCTGTTAATTTTTTGCTATCGCAATTCACAAAATCGAACTGTTATCGCAATTCACAGGTTTGAACTGCTGTCGAAAATAATAGATATTGCTATCGCAATCGCAGTTCAGAGAAGGCAACTGATATTTATAAAATGTGATCGCAGTTGCRATATGCGATTTTTCAATCACAGTGAAAAAATCACCGGTAGTGAAATATCGCTCATCAGCCGGTACCTATGAGGCCCTTCTGTGTCATATGCTTCTGAAATTTAATGCCTCTGACGTATTTAACTATTTAGTAAGTTGTTTCACTTTTAGTAGTTTTCAACATAACCGTTAAATGATTATCATCCGAAATCACACAGTTTCAAATTATGTTATGCTACAGGAATTTTAGGGGCTCATGAGATATTCACACTAAATCTATAATTAACTATATTATATTAAATCCATGCTTAGTTTTGAAATTTTTTTTTTAATTTTGAGCTTAGTTATGACACAGTAATGATACGAAGATGATTAACGCTTTTAATTTGTTAGATTTTGAAATTATCGTATCCAACACAAATCTGTAGGTTTCAATTAGTACCAAACTAATATATTTGGGGTATAGCTGGAGGTAATTTACTTCAATATTTCTTTTACATTTCTACATACAAGAAATTACAACACCACTCAAGCGCATTTAATTGTATGTTCCTTACTACGTGGTTGCCTGCAAGGCAACATTCACATAGCACATGCGTGTTTGAATTTTGATCCATAAGTAACCACATATGCAGATTAGATCTAGTCAGTGCAGTCAAGTACACTACACTAGTAATGGCTTCCGCATTCTGTTTAATGTAATTAAGTGTGTAAATTAGGCACCATCGTMTCCATTCAGTGTTGGTAATAATTTTGGAATTGTCTCGTATGCATTGAATATTGAACACATTCGTATATTCTGATTGTWATTAAAACATAAAATGTATAATCAACATATATAACTAATTACATCAAGAGCATAAACACTTCCTTAAGTGACTTTTAATTTGCTTCCAAATTTTATGGAAATTGGTTAACCGCGATGCCTGTGGTTAATCGTGTATAAAATTCACTATCTTTGTTCAATATAAGTTTGACAGAGGACTCTTCAACAGTTTATTTTACTTTAATTTAACAACTTCCTGCTGCGTGTGTTATGTTTAGAGCAATTAGTGAGAAATTTGCAGTTAGCTTAAGAACGCGAATTCTCTCACTCAGGCCACGCGCCTACTTTTGGGTTGCGGAGGAGCTGTATCTTAAAAGGAATACGTGATATCTGCAAAAAAAAGCATCGTCTAAATTTCTGAAATWATAATGCTAGATTGAAAAAATTGATGACAAATGTGCTAAAGTATATATCCAGCCACTCTCGGCTGGAGCGCCATTAATATCAAGAGGRGAATTATTACCGGCATCTATTCTTAATCCTAGATTTTCAATCTAGCTATCATCTAAAACTAATCAAGATATACATATATAATATAAATGATCAGGTTGACGAGACGAGTAGAAATTCGCGTGTCTGCCTATCTTTCCGTGCAAGCTGTAACGTGAGTAAAAATTTAGATATTTCGATTTCCTTGGTAAAAAAAAAACGACTTAATGGATGGGCGTAATTGGACCACCGCAAAGCCAACAAAACTTTGTTAATCGAAAACCTAAAAAGTACCATAACTAAGCAGTAAATTAAGATATAACTGTATTTTACGTTTAATGTACATATCTCCTAACCCATTACAGCTAGAACAATCTACAAGTAATTCACTCAGCATAAATAGTACAAAATACCTATTAATAGTGTAAAAATGTATTAAATCGATGATAACCCCATATAAAGGTACTGTCAACAACTACTAAAACTGTGATAAATCAATAACTAAATCCGCCAGACACATTTAATTTTACGATCGAGAAGGTATGAGAGGGGTTTAATGGAGCCCACTTTCAACAAATTTCGTGCGTGACATGCTTCTCACTTTTCTACGTTGCAGTGTGAAAATGGGCAATATCCCACTACGGCCAATTTGACTTACTATATAATGCAACTCTAAATTCTATTTGAAACTTTCACTTTCCAATATGCTAATCAAGGATCAATTAATATATCAGGATAAATCTTTGCACGAATAGTGACTTTGACGTGTACCACCTTATGACAAAAAATTGTTTAAATCGAACCAAAACTGATGAAGTAACATCTATAGTTGATTTTTCCTGAAAGTATCGATCAGTGTGTAAGGCCTAAACTACTGAAACGATTTTAGTAAATTTTATCACACTGTGTTCCATTCGAATCAACTTAAAGGATAGGATATTTAAGTCAATTGAAAAATAAAGAATACAATAAAAGCTCTCTGCTGGACGTCCTATTATGCGGATATCTCTATTAACCGTGGCCATTGTTGATGTGTATTAGTACAATCTATTAAGCGGACAACTCTGTAACTGGGCAGAAACGCTGGTAACCAGACATTGAAAAGGCAGCCTTAAATTCGTTATTATTTCCAATGAAATTTATTTGTATAAACATATTCAAAAGTAGACCTCAAGTGCAATCCCTTAGATTCTTATTTGCCTTTATTCGTAAATAAAATTTGCCCTGTATTGAATATTATAAAATGTATACCACAGCAATGCGTGGCCGGATCCCCTAACACCTAATATAAAGATTTTCGAACTTCCGGTTGATTTTATACCGCATACATCAGCCCATATGTCAGTTATCTTAATAAAATTGACACATTTTCTATAAGATATATGGTGTCTGATGGAATTATTGATCCGATTCAGACCATTTTTGGCACAGGGGCATTATTATTATCACATAAGAAGTGTCTCTGAGTTTCTAATAATAATATATCTTACAGATTGACCGATAAAAAGCTTGCAACAGGAACTGAGATCCATATATTCCGTATCTGAGTGCTTGAACAGTTTTGCTTTGRTTTGAATATTGTTTGGTGATCATTCGTGCAAAATTTTATCGCGATATATTCATTAGGGCTTAATTTGTATACTGGAAAGTGGAATTTAGAATTGCGTTATGCGAGAAGTAGGCGGGGTTATAGTGCGGCTTCGTCCATTTTTGCACTGGAATATGGGAATGTCAAATTAATGTTACCTAAATGTGGGCGGTGCCACACCCATCGTCGAATTTTGACACCAGCTCCTATAAAGCCTTTTTAGCTTAGTATATATTTATTAAATATAATATACGTTTAATAATTTTTAACATAAACGTCCATACAATGCTGGGTTTTGTTATTATCCAAATTCACCTATATCCACACTGTCGCAAGACGTGTTGAAAGTTATTATCTCGTGCAAACTTGTGTGACAAAGCTTCAATGGTTTGAATATATATGTATATATATGTTTCATATATTGTATTAAATTATTGTTTTATATTTTAATTTGTGGGTTAGTTATGGCAAGCAACACGTTTACGAAGTTTCATTACGATATCTCAAATTTTATTCAAGTTACAGTTTGCACAGAAAAACGGACGTACGCACGGACATCCAAGCCCTTATGGTACTGAATATGTGCTTATAATTGACTTTTTGCCGAAAGTAATGGTCAATGTATGGGATATACAATTGAAATTCAGAGAATTCCATTCATGATGGTAGTATTTCTGGGAGTTGAATCGTTAAGGGAAGTTCCATAGCTCCCATATACCTTATATAAAGGTTTTCGAACTTCCAGGTGACTTTGTACCACATACATCAGCCAATATAAGAGCTATTTGATAAAGTCGAGAGAGCGTGTTTTTCTTATAACGCTGCTTAAAATAAATAGAATAGTGGGAAAACTCGCGATAGACCCCATGCATCTAACAAGCCTTATGTAGCTGAAGGTACTTCCCTGTCTTTAAGCCTTTCAAGTTGCAAGAGTATGCAATGTTCGTTTATACTCGAACTTAGCTCTTCCTTACTTGGGTCATCTAAATTTAATTTAAAATACATTTGAATATTTTGTGTTTGGGGGTTGAGGCTCGAGTATATATCAAATAACTTGTATCGTTACATGAACAATAATAAATTAATTTGATGTGTACAATCGTGTCAATAAGTAAAACCAAAAAAATAAAGGATATAGTAAATAGACTTGTGTGATTCGGTAACGAAGTGAAATACTAAGTGAGCAACTGTCCCAAAATGTCGCACTTCAGTGCAATTTTCGAGAATTTACGATTGGTAGCTGCTAAACGTATGCCCAACACTCCCACGCATCAACAAAGCCAACAGCAGCAACAACAAAACAATGCAAAAGCAAACGAAGAAATTCAAGCAAACCATCATTCCTCCCCACCAACGCCGGAAATGTGCAACGAAAAAGAAAATAACAGCAGAAGGTCTCAAATATACATTAAAGAGCCACACGAAAAGCTGCAGCAGCAAACTGTATCTCTAACAGCAATGACAAGAGCAGGTGGGAGTAAAAGTACCGATTGCACTTCCAACCGACAAAGTTACGCAAAAAGACATAGTATATCAGGCCGAGAAGCTGATAATGCTAAAAACTCGGCGGTGCATATTGGGCGCAGCTCGGTGGTAGGCAGTGGGGCCGGTGTTATTGTGGAAATCGATGTAAATTCCAACAGTGGAGGAGGCGGGGGCAAAGCACGCGAGCTCTCACCTACCCCGAAGAATACCGGACAGCGCAAAATGTCGCAGGATTTTCGTGCGCGTGCAGGTAGTTTCATTCACATTGACGAAGAGGGACGCAGTATACTCATACGTAAGCCGGTGCGCCTAAAGAATATTGAAGGTCGACCAGAGGTTTACGATACTTTGCACTGTAAGGCTAAAGAGGTGAGTAAATATCATTTAAACTAATGTGTTTTTTAAAGTAAATACCACAACAAAAATCCATATATTCGATAGATATCAAATTACTTAATGTTATAAGACATCTAGACCGGTCAGTCAGAACGTCAGAAAAGCATAAGGGTGAAGAGCAGGTTCATGGGTTCATTAGTGAACCAGTACGAGGCGGAATAAATCCTGCTTCAACTTGATAACATTTTGGTCTACACAAATCTTTGAAATTTAATATATTTGAAATCCGAGCACTGCAACAGCAAGAGAGTCCCTATAACGCTTTAACAAACGTAGGGCAGTGTCAGATCAATTTATTTATATATTCTACTAGCTTTGTCACACATTGTTACCCGTGGTTTATTAGGGAAAATAAAGTGTATGTTWACAGAAAAATAATGATTATTCACATTTTCAGATACAAAATTTAATGGCTTGCGGAACGGGAGAGTTGATTATGCAGATGAAATTATTTTTTGCCTGGGATCGTAGAGAATCTGTTTACTGCAGCACATGTCTGTAAAAAATATTGCAGCTCTTAATGTTTTTTGCGTAAATAAAAAGCTTTCCTGCTCTCGACATATGCGAGCCAGCCACGTACGGTTGTCTCCGGGACAAGTGAAAAAGGTGCGTAATCTAGTGCCGTTGTATAGTCTACGCGCATCCAGATTACGCTGTAGAATGGCAGGCACACCAACTGTGGGTTTCAACATGTGGGATTTTACCACTGGCAGGTCGAGTTGTGTCGTCAGTTGTCTTCACTGTATCTATTGAGATGTAGGTCTTTACTTCAACTGGAACTTCCTTTAATATTCTTTTATAATTTTTTTTTTTTTGCTGAGATGAGTGTGCGGTTCTGCCACTACTTACAATTTTTTTTTTTTGCGTAGTTGTCCGAGCAGCAATTTAAGTAAGAAGGTTTTGCTAAGTGCGTCCAAGAAAAAAACTCTTGTCAGTTAGCTATGCAGTTTGTTACTGAATTGAAAATTTGCTTGTTCTTCGGTAGTAACAGAGGTTCGGTTTGGTTGCCTTGAATTTCTAAAACTACAGTATTATACCTAAGCTCTTTGACCATATCAGTGGTCATCTCTTCTGTTTCTCTCCTTTTTCCTACCATTATAAAAATCCTGATTAATTTTCAGCGCATCGATAAAAATTATGGCATCGATGACTATTGTTTTCTCTTCGTATCGGCGAGCAATGTCTTCTGACATACAATTGCCGGAGGTTGGGTAGTCCACAGGTGCTTATAATAATAGTAAAGAGCTCTCTCAACCTAGTCGCTGACTGGCACAACATACCGTCGTCCATCGTTTTACCCCAGTAATCGTTGTCTTTAGGTAACCCCATCGCCTCACGTGCTTCTCGCAAAGTGTCATGGCGCCATCCATCGTTTTATCAAAGTGGCCGTCACCATTTAGAGACCCCAATGCCTCACATGTTTCTCGTAAAGCGGCCTCTTTTTGCTCATCAATGATTTTGAACGCTTGAAAACTGGTGGAGCCTCTGATTCTAGTCAACAGCAATCGTACACAATAACACTACGTTATGTGTGATTTATGACGGTATCATATAACTTTTTTATTTTGTTGGGATCGGGAAACTCTGAAAAAAGAACTTAAATGGACATGCAGCATTCCTCTTTTTTGCCAAATAGAGAGCATAAAGCACTGTACATCACCGAACACCTGACCTTTGGTGAGGAGATTTCCCAGTTTTTGTACCTTTATACGATAGACTCGAGCGACGTAGCTGTATTTGGCCTTGCACTATAAAACTAAGGAAATTCCAGGCATAGCGTGAAATTTGTTCGCCCCGAATGACGTCAGGGAAAAGTATCCGTTGCATTTTTTTACACAGTTAAAGATCTGCCGATCAGATTCACCTGTAAAAATTGTAGCTGTTCATTAAGTGGTAGCAACAGTGATTATATTTTACGCTACACTTAGCCTTGCACTTAGCCTTTTTACACTGTTTTTACACGAGATTCATCAGTTTCACCTGTAAATAATGATTTTAAAGKTTCCACAAGTTCTTCTAAAATAGGAATGACTACTTTGCCCCCAGAGTAATACATTTCCTTCTTTCTTAAATTGTTCTTAAATTAAAAACCGGTTGATAATTAGATTTTAACGGTGTTTGGAAAACTTCAACTTTGAATATTTGTTCTACTAACAAGACCTACAAGAAAAATAACATCACTTCGCAGGTATTTCGACTTCATTCCTTTTTGTAGCAACTGTGTAATTTATTTGTTCCAAATCAAGCAAAATAAATTGTTTCCACTTGAAGTCTTATTTTAACAAGCATGCGCGTGTGGTTGCAACAAATCTTTTTCTAACTAAGTAGTATATTATATGTTACGCTTTTTGTTGAATTAATTGTTTGGTGATTTTGGTGACATAATTAAGCGTAGCAAGAACCTCATGAATGTCCATGTTTGTGTTTTTGGTGAAATTGTTTTAAAAATATAGGAAAATAATGTTTAAAAAAGGTTGTAATTGGATAAGGATTCAAATGTTTTTATGTGCATCCTTACCAACGAATATGAGTAGAGGTTTCGTAATGTTGGACTTGATTAGTATATAATTCTAACGACATTTGTTATTACAGTCGAAGATTTTGATAGATTTAAAAGTGAAATTTGAAAAAATTTTTCCCATGATTTCGAAAGTGGTATAAATCATATTTTTTTTGTTTCGAGATATTTAGAGTTTTGCATTTTAAAGGATTAAAAAATATTCCTGCATTATGGATTTTTCGACAGTAAAATAGTCCCAACAAACAAGTATTWGTTATGATTGTGAAATTTATAGCCATTTTTAAAAGAAAATGTGGTTTTGAAAGGTTTAAATGACTTGTAGCACTTTCAAAATTAACTGCATGACTTTATAAATGACTTATACCACCAATGAAACAATTTTATTAGTAAATAACATTTTATTCAAACTCATTTCATTTTGACTAAGTAAATTATTCATTAGTATTTAGGGAAATAAAGTGTTTGTGAAAAATTGGTGGAATATAGGGTACGTTTTTCTTTTGTTATTGGTCAAATGGTTGTGTATAATGGAAGTAAATCAATATTTCCGTATATTCTAGGCCTTCCGTTTTTAGGTGAGATGTCTAATACTTTGAATTCGGAGTTGCCATCCAAGGAARCTTTGTAAAACATCTTATATGGGGCATTTTTTAGAAATCTGATCCATTGTATTTTTAACCAAGGCACAGCTTTTCCATTGATGTTTTTCTTTCTATTATTCGTTAATTCTTTTGGTTGTCTTGTAGAAATAAAATCTTTTTGATCCATTTGTACTACCGAAAATGGGTTTCTCATCTTACATGATTTYATTAAATTATAATAATGCTCAGGGATGTATAAATAACTATATTTTTTAATTTTAGTTTCTATGAAATCTAAATCGCGATCATTTGGCAGAAAAGAATGGTCGGATACCATAAATTTATGATCAATTCTTTCAACATTATTATCAGATTACCGAACAATTTTTAACTTTATTAAAGCTATGTTAATGTTTCGATTTTGTCCTGAGCAGGTATCAGTGTTAGCTATTATATGCTTTTGAGTGGTAATGTCCCGAATGTGCTTTAAGATGCAGGACGCAACTTCCTGTGATCCTCTTGGGGCGATTGTTTCATCCCATGCATACATTTTAGCATTTCCATTGTGGAAATTATGAAACTCTAAATTGTATAGATACATGTTGCGCTTATGGTAAGCTACCGAAACAGAAAGTTTTGGATAAGGAAGCGCTTTCTGTAGGTCAAATACGAATCCGTAATTTCAACTCGGGTTATGTTTTCTTCTTTGTGTGTGATCTGTTAAACTTTTTCTAGCCTGTTCGGCACTTTTAAGATGTGAATCACGAATTTCCATAAGATGCAACTTCTCGTCTTCATTACTGGATGCTTCAATTTTTAGTTTTATCGAATGACACGTTTGGCACGTGTCTTTACGAGGAGTATGAAAATTTAGGTTGAACTAATTATTAAATATTTTTCTATAAGTCCATTCCTTTATACATGATGTATTATTTTCATCACATTTTTCCACATATAGCCCATACATTTTTCGAATATCTAAGTCAGCACTTAATAGCTCTCACATGCTGGAAAACTCAGAATATGATCTCGTACTACTTTAATTTTTTCTTTATCTGTTTTTCTATATGAACTAGCCATTTTGCCTCGACTATGCATTCCAGGTGTTTCAGAATTTAAGGCACGGCTTAATCTTCCGTTAGATATTTTGAAAGTATCCAAGTTTTGCAAATAGAAACTTCCGAACTCATACTTACATATAGATGAAACTTAATACTCCATTTTCTCATATATCCTTTGTGATTTATGGGGTGTTTTTGTTTTATTGATTGCTTTCTAATCAAACCATACAGAAACATATTCTGTTTTTCGAAACTTCCTAAATTCCAAAAATAATCAAAATTAGCTTTCCTGTCTTCATATCCGATTCCATTTCAACACTTTTTGGAACAAAGATAATATATATTTTCGAAAAGTTTAGCACTCACGGCTTAGAGTTTTTATTTTATATTCCTCTCCACGATTTCTTTTCACTTTTCTTATATTTTGTCCGTAATTCTGTTGATTGTGTGTCCTCTTTCTTGATTTCATTTGGCTTTCTTCCATTTGTAAGGGTTCCGAATTCAGTTTTAAACAATGAGCTGATTTATCAGAACACGATATCATTCTTATTTGTTTCCATTTCTGGGGAGATTACTTATATTTATTCGCCGTAAAATGTCCACAATTAACTTTRAATAGTAGGTTTTTACACTAAAAGTTTTACTTTAACATACATGAACCACTATCTTAAGACATGACAAAATTACTTTGGGCACGATTCCGATTACTTTGGCGGAGGGGTAAAAAAACCGAATTTCCATAGACATGGGGTATGTACGCATAGGGGAGCTCTCCAGAGTAGGAATATCCAAAAATTAGATAAAAATTAC